TGGGTTGTCTGCGTCATATTTCGTATTCATAGGGCGGCGAATAAATACTCATGTTTCAATATTGGTGCTTATTGCACACGCAAACATATGCTTACACTATTTGTTATTAACATAGGATTGTTAGTGTGTGTAAAATCTAAGTTGAAAACTGTATTGTTCATAATGACGTTCCAAACCAGAATTGGGAAAAGGCAAAGGCGTTACGAAACAATAATTTACCCAAAACAGTAAACACACTAGGAAAAAAATAAATTGAATAAAGAAACCCTGTAATTACAGCTTGAGGAAAATTTGATGGACTCTGAAAAAAAAATGCTGTCAGACAGGTTCTGTAACTATTATGCAGGATTTAAATTCCATCCTTTTAAAATAATAATATTCGCTTAATGCAGGGCTCGAGAGGCATCCATGGTAGAGGGTTACTATTAAAATGGTAGTGAGGAATGAGGTGTATGATTTTTTTTTTACTAATGTTCAGACAATGTATAGCTGGCCATTCGTATTCGAGGATACCTGTCTACTAGGGCGGCTAACCAATCCCTATTGCAGACGCTTGCTCAGGCGTATCTGTATTTATTCAACACCCACGGAGCCCAACTGTGGTTTATACTGCAACCATGCTGAGCAGAACTTAGTTACAGTTTCTGGGAAAGAGCGTGTTATCTAGTGTGATCAACAATTTGGACAAGGCCAGCACGCTCAAGCCCTCGGTCACAATGACTTGTGATTTCGTGCTAGCACAACTATCGACAACCCCCAAGGGTTCCGTCTACCCATTTTCACTCACAAGGCTTGGGTCAACCCTTGGTATAGTTTTCAGGCACCTTCCAAAGGCACCGGACACTGAGATCGCCCCTCCTTGCTGACAAATCGACCGTGGTGAGATTCGAACCCGTGCCCCATTGTCAGAATGCGAACGTTCTAACCACTCGCCCATTAACTGACCTTGTGTTCAGACAATACAAGGCCCATGAGCCACTCAAGGTAGAGGGTTACTGTGTGGAGTTGTATTAGTGTTAAAAAGTGCAAGATAACAGGAAAGATAGACAGATAATTCTAGACTTGAAGAGGTTAAAATTTATTTAGCGAATAAAATTCAGGCGGAGACATTAGAGGTACAGAGTTTACTTTAGAAGGAACCGGAAACCCAGTCCTAAACAGGCGTGAACCGCTACTCCTCTTCAAAAGACTGGAGAGGGATACGAAGTAGGTGATAGGCAAACCTATCTACTCCTATTAATTCGTTGATAAAAAAAAATGAAAATTAATCCTTACTTGCCTCTCACAAATGTTTATGACAGACTTAATTCCGTCTCTCATGGACAACATTACTTTAAATATTCTCCATCCAAGCGGTTCCAATATTCCTGAATGGTGGTTATCTTTGGTGGATAGACCTTTTTGATAGAATTTCTTTCTTTTTTCTTTTTTAATTTCCACCATAAATTTATATGAATGAAGATTATAATGCTAAAGAGGATAGATAACTCAACATGAAGAGGTTCAGATCTTCGGATCCAGGGAAGCATCAACGCGGGAGTCTGTTGCACGAAGTAGCAATTCTTTGAAAAAAGCCGTCTGGACTGGACGGGGGAATTTCTTCTTACATCTGGAAAGGGTGAGGCGAGGGTGATTCAATTCGACTGCGTGCCCTCTCAAAATGCAGCCCAATTGAAATTAAACTTTCCTGTTATATATATATATATATATATATATATATATATATATATATATATATATATATATATGCGCGTGTGTGTGTGTGTGTGTGATAGAAAGAAAAAACTCATGCATGCACAGACACACACTTGTGTATATATATATATATATATATATATATATACAATTATATGTAGAGGAAAAGCGTGAAAAGCGAAGAAATAATCTTCAACCACCGCTCTACAAATTTGAATAAATTTTATTATTGAGTATTTGTTTTCTTTCAAATCGAAAGAAACGAATTACAAAGACCCTTGCAAAACAAATTCACACAGAAATATTTTGATTTTCTTTCTTACGAAATCAAATGAATCAATTACGTTAGTATGCTAGAATAAACTGAATGTGGCAAATTTAAGAAGAATGTCACGTATTTACGTTGTTTTATGAATCTATGTAATTTTCTAGCAGTAGCAGTTGGTATATGGAAAGGCTGCATTAAGTGTGCTTAATTTATGTTTAAATCACTAGGCTTTGTATGAAGTTACTCGAATATAATATGGGGAAATACTGAATAATTAATTATACGAAAGGTTTCAGAATTCAGCTTGTCCATAACAACGAACAATCGACCCTGGTCAAGGGTTTATGAAAAACCTGAATACTAATTTAGCATCACGAATATTTATAGAAAATGGATAGTGCCGGAGAAGCTAAAAAATTATCATACTAAATTCAAAAGTTAATGAATTTTTTTCCCAATATTTATATATCTAATTTTAGTAAGGAAAATATTTTTAATCATTTTCTAAAGTGATCACTGAAATTTCGTAGCAGACAAAGACAAACATGTTTGGTTCTTTTTCCAAGCTTTCAGTGCGTTTGAAACGTCGTTGATTGGTTAATATATGCGATTGTGGAAAATTCAAATCGGAGCGTATTTTATGTACAAAAATGAGTCAATTCTGAGCATTAGTTAAATTTTTCTACAATCGTTAACGAGGTTCCACACACACACCCACACACACAGACATACACATACACACATACACACACACATATGTGGGGGGATGTTAAAGAAAATAGTACTAAAAAAGAAAAAAGCCGACACTTAACAATATTAACTAGGAACACGGCCACAGAAAGTAAAACATCTCTATAACACTAAAAACATACGCACAATTCACACATTTAATTATACTGAAAAAATAAAATCATACTTGATAATGTCTAAAGGCATAGCCGAAAGCGCTCGGAATTATAAAACATTTGGACAGTTTCTACACACTCTCTGTCTAAAAAAAACACTTGTTCAAACACAAGAAAAATTAGATAAAAGCTTAATTATAGTAACTTGTCTGTCGTTGTTAATGAAACATGCATAAATGAATGAATGCTGCCTAAATACACAATATATATATATATATATATATATATATATATATATATATATATAATGGCCAGCTACATGTTCTCGAGTACACCTGTCCCTTCGGGCGAATAACCAATCCCTTTTTCAAACACATACTTAGGCACATTTGCCGTTGTTCCACGCCCACAGGAGTCACATATGGTTTATATTTAAACTATGTTGAGCGAATATGTTACAAATTCCGGGAAAGCGCACATAATCGGGTATCATCCGAAGTTTAAACTAGGCCAGTATGCTTAAAGACTCGGTCACGATGACTTGTAACGTTGTGCTAGCACAACCTTGTACTGCTTTCGACTGAATATATATGATAATGGACTTTCCCGTCGATTTCGATCTATGAGGATCCGACAATTTCATTCAGGTTTTATGTTTGTGTCATATGTAACACTCCAGAGCCGCTAGTGACCTGCATACAAGCCCACATATTGTGCAACAGCGACGATCTCGGGACATATCAACAGGAATATTTGCTGACGCTTTTTGTCGTTGTCTCCCGTCTCTTTCTCTCAGCCGGTCAATACGACTGATTTCGAAATTTCTGATACCCCTCTGGCACAAATATCTCCAGTTATTTCTATCCAGGGCAACTCGCCGAAATTAGTATGAGGCGCATTGATAGCTGAGAGGTTATACTTTAGCTTGTCTTTATACTTGAGCCATGTCCGCCCAGCAGTTCTTTGCCCATTATCAAGCTGGCTATACAGGAGGACCTTGCAACATGACCAGTCCAGAGGAGCTGTGAGTGCATCTGGGAAGCCTCAATCCCACCAATATTCCATTTTGCAAGATCAATATTGGACACCCTATCGTCAAAAGTATAGCCACAGATCGCGCGGAGACAATTTATATATATATATAGATAAGATAGAAAGATAGATAGATAGATAGATAGATATAAGTTATGAAAAACTTGGTAATCCGTATGGGTAATCCCAAGGAGGATGAAATCCTGAGAGCACAATGTAAATCCAGAGCTAATATTTTAAAGAAAAACAGACCACTTTAAGGTACCATTATAATAATTTATTTCACCAGAGCCCTTTTAAAGGACGCCGGATCATCAGATAGCACGTTTCATTTTTGAAGTGCTATCTGATGATCCGCGTCCCTTAAAAGTCTCTGGTGAAATAAATGTCTTTAAAATACATATATATATATATATATATATATATATATATATACGCACATTTGCTTTTACAAGCGAATAAAGAAGAAATTTAAGCATTTTTTTTTACTTTTACAGTAGCGTTGTATGCTTGACGTTGAGCGCTTTTATTTAAACTGATGCAACGTGATAACTGAGTTCATTTTAATGCATGTAAGATGTATTGGAAATGTTCAGTAATTTTTTGGGTGTTTACTCAAATGATATGTCAGGCTTAGTTAGGCAATAAAAATAATTTCTGGGTCAGGATGGTGTCAGTAGTTCATAGCTTTCAGCATCAACAAAGCTTTTCTTTGGGAATAAAAAACGGTTAATTGAATTCTAACATGTGCAAGTTATAAGGGACGTCTATTCAAACACGTGTCTCAATTATATATAACGTTTATAGTAATAAGTAATAATGTCGGTTTATAAATAAAATCCATTAATTATTTAGAAATTATTTTGTTTACGTTACTCATACGAAAATAAATTTATCAGACACGCTTTCTGTTGATTTTTGTTGATCGATTTGTTTTTACGGAATATCAACCCTTTGCAGATTATTTAAAGCCAGAAAATGTTTTTTTTTAGATTGGTGGGGTAGATAATAATGGTTTTAGTGATACAAATCTTACTAATTAACCCATAATTGGGGGAAGAAGGGCATTTTCCCGTATGGGAATATAACAGGAATTGGAACTCGGCTCTCCGATTAACAATTCCGAGCCATTATCCATTACACCACTCGCACATCCAAACTTACAGTACCTGGTATTCCCAAGTGGTCTCTCATCTAGGTGCTGACCAGCTCGACGTTGCTTAACATCGGTGATCCTATGGCAACCGGCGTTTCAACGAGAGATCAGTTGTCATAATTCCGCTTTCCTTTGCCGTGAAAACATTCGTGGCAAAGCGATCTGAATTATACCAAGATTAAATGTGAATTCCCTATATGAGGGTACGAAAAGAACAATTTATGTATATAAAACTCTCGAGTTTCCAGGTTAGTAGACGTCAAATACATAGTTTAAAAGAAAGAAAAGATGTCTACGCAATTACGTGTGTGTTCAGTAAATATGGCGTGAATATTTATATATACTGCAATATATTAAAAATATACGTAATATCTTACATCAATGTAAGAGATTACGTATATTTCTTAATATATTAAATATCTGTTATTTAACAGTAGCCACTGTCTTTTCTTACAATATATATATATATATATATATATATATATATATATATATATATATTTGTATACGAACGCTCGCTCGTACACTTACCTATATTTATCCATTTCGTTATATTCTACAATATACAGACATAAAATTTGGTGAATAGAGTGCAGTAGAGATAAACAGAAGTTTCATAATAATCTACACTAGTGACAGGCATGCTTTAAAAATAAGGTCTGGTAATCGATTGAAACTAGAAGTTACATTCAGTGTTTACCCCATATTTTAAAGACATACATTATATATATATATATATATATATATATATATATATATATATATATATATATATATATATATATATATATATATATATATATATATATATATATATATATATATATATATATATATATATATAAACAATTGATGCCTTTGAGCTCTTTGTAAACTGTGACTATTAATGCTGTTAATGCAAAACTCTTCGATAAAACGAATCGAGTTCTCCCAGTCACTGGTGTGTTTATCTAAAAATAAATACGTTTAAATTCACCTTCATCTCTGCTGTGCTTAGGCTTGAGGCAATCAGGTCTATCCATAGTGATTAGCTGTGAAACAGCGAGAGTCTGTCTGCGGATGATAATATATATATATATATATATATATATATATATATATATATATATATATATATATATATATGTGTGTGTGTGTGTGTGTGTGTGTGTGTGTGTGTGTGTGTGTGTATGAGGACTTTGAATAAATTCTCGTTGTTTTTACAAAAGATAGCGTTCAGAACTGCGTGTGTGTAGCTTCAGATGGTAACGCATCTATGAAGTAGTATATGCAAGCTGGAAATTCAGTGTATGTCATTTCTTCGAAGTGTAAACAACTTTGTTTTCCACAGAGTTACGCATGTTGGATTTCGTGCCAAAGAAAGTGTATTTTCAGGGAATTTTACTGCACTACTTTATTCAAAAGAATTCTGCAGCTGAAGTGCACAGAATTCTTGTTGAGACTTACGGCGACCATCCTCTTTCCTCAGTATTACTTAGAAGGCGTTACTCATGTCAGGTGCAAGCCGAACTTGCAGTATCAATAGGAGTTGATCACACAACATGAATGATTCAAAAACAAGGATATTGGGTGCCGTACGAGTTGGAGCCGAGACCCATCGAACGGCATTTTGTCACGTGTGAACAGCTGCTTCAACGGCAGAAAAAGAAAGATTTTTTCATCGCATCGTCACCGGCGATTACATGTGAATGCACTACGATAACCCTGAGTGTAGAAGATCGTTGGGTAAGATCTGCCATGCATCATCAATGGCGGCAAAACCGAATATCCATGGTCCGAAGCTTTTTGGCGGGATCAGTTAGGTGTTGTTTATTTTCAGCTGCTCACACCGATCGAAACCAGCACAGGAGATTCCTATTGACTACAATTGCTGCGTTTCACCCGAGCATTGAAGAAAAAAAGGCCGCTATACAAGCAGAGACATGATTTTGCACAATGACATTTTCATAACGAATAAATAACATTTTCAAAAAATACTGAAATAGTATAATTAACATTTTGCTTGAAATATGTGTATTTCTTAGTAATTACAGTGTACATGTAATTTGTTTTTAATTTTAAGTAATTGGTTGATATTTTTAAATATTTTACTGTACAATTTACACGTTAACAGATTGTTCAAAATACAGTTGAGCATTGTACGAAATCCACTATATTAAAAGCAATAGTGTGTCTACTCAATGATTATTCAAATCTGTCAATAATTGCTTCTGCATCCAATTCATCTAACAATACCTTTTCAATGGATAACATGTATGATTCGAAATTCTTACTCAGCGAATTTCTCAATCTTGTCTTTATGATCTCCAGCTTTGAAAATGTCCTCTCACATTGGAACTGAGTAACTGATTTTGTGCAGATGACTTTGTAATGTTCTTATTCTTTTTTATTCCTAAAACAGTTGTCTGTGTTTGTTTCTTTATTGCATTTTTATTTGATATAGGTGGCCCACTTCATTAGGGGCCCACTTGCCATCGGGTAAGCTGACACCTTTGCCAGTCCGCTATTTGATGTGCAACAATTTATTCGAAAATACGAACAATGCTCTAAAATTTTGAACAGACAGCCGAAGATTTATGTTCAAAGACCTTTCCGTCGCACTTCTTATTTGTGGAACTCTCTTCCGGCGTCTTGGTTCCCAGTCAAGTTTAATCTTCAGAAATTTAAATGCAATGTCAATCGTTATCATCTGTCGTTTTAATTCTTGTTATTTTATTATTCACTGTCTTTAATGATATTTTCCTTTTCATATTCTCTAACGCTCAGTACCCATCCTTTGCATCTTAGTGGCTTTATTGCCTTGATTGGGGGGGGTGAAATGATTTAAAAAAACATATATACGCGGGTGAGCATAGATGCAGCAATTTTCACCCCTACCACCACGCACACAGAAGCGAAAATACGGGCGTATATATGTATGCAAAATGCTATGTACTTACATATATAGACATACAGCCATGACATACACATTCATTAAACAGACAGAAGCATAAACACACACACATATATAGATATAAATATATAGACACACACAAACACACACACACACACACATGCAAACACACATGCATAAATTCACACAGACAAGCATGCTTTATAGATATACACATATGTGTATATGCGTATGTCTATATGCGTGTGTCATTAAATGATTCAAATTATTATTTTTCTTCCACTTGGTTTGTTTCTGGGGCTTAACGACTCGTCAGCATTCCATGTCATAATCTATATATCACGTCGCCATTGCTGGTGTGCTATTTAAGGGAATGTATACACTAAAACTGTGTATGGCAGGATTTTCCCAGTGATAATTGTTATGCTTCTGGTGATGAATAGCCTTAGGAGAGTGTCTGACCTGACTAGAATTCTTGACATTCTGTATTGCAATGGAACAACAGATAGCAACCAATCTTAATCCTCGTTAAAAGATTAATACATATTTTGATTTCGGGAGGCGGGGGAGATCCTGTTCGGGTCGGTTGAAGGGTGTAGGGACCAGAGAAAAGTTTGCAGTCAGAATTTGCATCCTGGCGGGAAATACGAGACGGAATGGAGCTGAAATGCTATTGGTAGGCGGGGATGTAGCTTACGAAAGACCACCGTTCTTGAAGCTAAGTAATATTGTTGTTCTTTTCTTCCTTCTTTTTTTTTCGTTTTGTAAACGGAAAATGTTAGTTGAAATGTTTTAGGGGCAATCTACTCATTCTGTTCTTCAGGACGTTGGCGATCATGTACTTAAATTAAGGAGATGAGTACGACTATTCCCCAATAAAATCCTTTCCTTCTCTAATGGCTACACCATGTTTCAGGTTAGAAAATATTTCTTTAGGTGATTATCTGGGAAACCATTTTTTTTTTCATGCCATGTATCTTAAGGACGTAAGCGATCATGGCTCTACACAGATTCCATTTCTTTAAATGCCATAACTGTTGGGAAAATATAGTAGATTAGCATCCGTTGCCTTTTCCACGATTTTGAATTCAATTCTTCTACATTGGCAGACACCCAAGACTAGTGATCGCAGTCTACCTTGCTATTTAACCCTTAACTAGGGAGTGGGTAAGATGCGATTTTTCCACGGAAATGTCTACAAAATTATTATAAAGGAGAGGAAACCGTCATTTTATCATGGATTCATATCTCGTTTTATATATATTGACAAAAGCACGTTCGGTATTAACGTGGCCTTAATTTGATTAGCTTATTCGTGACATTCTTAAGCTATTATCTACTATATAATAATTAAAAGTGTGTATTTATTTCTATATCACGTGTCGCGCTCTATAGCGGAAAGGGAGTTAATTCAACTTAAGATAGTATTAGGTTGGTGCAAAAATAATGACGCAATAATGTCGTTTTTGACGTACTTTTCACGTCAAAAACGACATTCTTACGTCATTATTTTTGCACCAACCTAATAAATTCATGAGTGGTTTAGTCAATTTAATATTCTAGACAATTTAATATCCTATGCAAGTAAAACATTTATCTTATTTAAACAAAATTAGTTACTGAGCAAAATAAACTGTCACTACTATGTTTTTTGGATTGTAGTCTTATTTGTTCAAGCCTTTCTTGCGATGTCCTCAGATACCTTAGTGTACTAAGTGATCGACTTGATTCAACTTGGTCTTGAGATAAGATTCGTCGTCGTCGTTTTTGTCGTTCTGTTGCTAATATTTTTTTCGTTCGCCAGGTGTTTCGACTTCAAGTCACTGTTATATTAAGCACGCAGAAGTTTTTGACATGAAAAGATATTGAGAAAAAAAGATTTATAAAGTGTAATCAATGAATCCTAGATATAATCAAGTGTAATCAATGAATCAAGTGTAATCAATGAATCATAGATATACTATTGCACGTCTAAAAGTATAAGGGAGCAATGATCAATTAATCATTGTCCTCTATTTTAGTTGTGAGTAGTAGATCTCCACTTTATTAAATCTCATTAAATTGTTTGAAAACATTTGTTTCATTAGATCACAATATTAAAACTTTCTAAGAATTGCCGTCATTTTTTACGGCACTAGTAGACTAGTATTACAATAAAGATCACGTGAGCATTCCTGAAACGTGGCTGTTCCCAACCACCTCCTTTCAG